AAACGCCCCCCTCTCCCCCCCCCCCCCTCCCCCCACAACCGCTTGTTGCACTTCAGAAGCTGGTGCTCCAGTACATAAGACTATTGATATTGACACTTATAAAGCACCATTATGTAAGCAAGTATCATTACAGTATTTCAAGCAAAGAGATTAATTTTAATTCTGAGAATGGCTTCTGGTACCAAGAAAAGCACCCAGTCTTCCTCACTCTTAAGGGCTCATTCAGACAGGCATGCACACACCCGTAAAAAGACCCGATCACGGGAGCGACGTGCTGCGTGCACCGGCCGGTTCTTCCTTATGGGAGGATGTGGCTGCATGGAGTTACACGCCGTCATATGCACACCTGTGCGGGTCCAGGTGTCCACACTTAGTCACACACGGTCTGCGTCCAAGTACTGCACCTATCCTTCCCAGGATTGGGTCTTTTTATGGACATGTCTGCCCGTCTGAACGAACCCTTAAGGACAAATACAGCCAAAACTTTTTAAGTTCTGGATAGAGTGATGGGGAAAAAAAACAAAACATGTCAGAATTTTTATGAAATTTAGTGTCTCTGTGGGGAGAGATTCCCAAATTTCCAGAGTGCACAAGTGTTAAACCTTTATTTCTTTATGTACCATTGTGGAGATTTCCTCCCTCCCCCCACTTCTTATGCCAGGGCCATGCTACATGTCAGGGTGCAATGGAAAGTCACTGGCATAAGCTGTGAGGGGAATAGAAACACAGGCAACAAGTACAACGTGACAGAGTTCCTCACCCTTTTCCACTATGCCCACAATTAAACAAAAAATGCACTGGAGTTGGGCTTTAAATCAGGGCCACAGGGCTAAAACTAATGGAAAATACTTTTTTGTATATACAATCTATATAGGCAGGGAATTGTGGTCTCTCGTATATCCATGATGCTTTACTATAACAGCTACAACAGAGTTTGTCTGTGGACACCTTAATGTCACTAAATCTGAGCGAACTGAACAAGAGTATCCATTAAAAAGCACATTAAACTTTATCCAATAAAAATGTATTTACAATATTCTACAGGCTGGTAAAATCCCCACGGGGTCAAGGAATAATGTGAAACAAAGATGACAACATACTCTCCATTCTCTAGACGGGAATCTTATCAAATGCCAATGACATCCAAATGAGTCAGTCATGACCATTTAAAACCTCTTGTACCATCTGGGGCAAAAATCCCTTTAAAAAGTGTAAGAAATTGGTGCTGCACTGATAATCGTCTACCTCTGGAGTAAGGTGCAGCTGTAAATTGCCCTCATTGGTCAGCTCAGTCTTTATAGTTATTTGCATTAAAGGCTTGCACGGCTTGCCATCTACTGCCCCAGAAGACAAAGCATGGGACACCGCAGTCTCTAGTTCTATTTTCTGGGCCACCTCGCCACACTTGCTCCTCCGCTGTCTGCGTCTGCCCTCCCATACCTGATGCCACACATTAAGTCGCACCAGTGAAATATTTTCCTTTGCAAGTTCTTTTAGCTTTTTGGCTTCTTGTCCTTTATGAACTTTCTGTGTGGGAAGTACACTGTCTTGTTCCACAATAGCATCTTCGTTTGTACCTTCCATCTTCCTTCTTTTGTTGTCATTCTGGATTTCCTCTGTGCTCTCTCGTTTCCTTCCATGTGATTCAGTTTTCATCCCATCTTTAAACTCTGACTCATCTCCAATGACAAGTCCCTCCATGTGCGATACTGCCTGTTCACCTTCATCTCCACTTCTTTCCATTTCACCTTTTCCTCCTCCTGTTTTTTCTGTCCTATTTTTCAAGCTAGCTTCCTCCTCACAACTACATAACAGCACTTCTACTAAAACCCTCTTGACAGCCAAAATCACAGCTTCCAGTGAAGTTCCTGTTAGCGGAATGGAGATTTCTATCCCTTCTTTCTTACTGCCCTCGGAAGTATTTGCCAGTAACAATAAAACGATGCCCCAAGGGCGGGACAGTGACCGTAGGCGATAAAGAGGTGAGCGACAGGTCTTTGCAGCACCAATACACTGTGAGCTGAAACGTCGAGCTGTTTTTAAGCTGACATTACTACAGACATTGTGACTCAATTCAAATGGATCCTGGACGTTGAATGGACCCAGGCGAAAACCCTCAGCCCAGGATGGAGTTGGAGAGGTAAAAGGAAGGGTGATAATCACACCATCTCGAGGACAGAGGATGCTTGAACGTAAATCCAGTGAAGAGAAAAAGGAGAAAAACTCAGACAGAAGACAACCTGTAACAATAGAGAGTAACATTAATTGAAGACCGTAATAAGGAAAAACATCTCAAAGCTATGGTAAAGGTTCCATTATGGCATTGAACATATAAAACACATCTCATAACTACAGTAAACTCCCCTTTATCCAGCATTCAAGCAACCGGCAGAAAAAAAACACCAAGGACATATGTCGTTTTTTGCCTGTGGCTTGATGTACGCTAAAACATAATTGGTTGCTGGGTGCACTCTAAAAAAATATCGGGGGTCCTAAACTCAATTCACTCGGGGGCCACTCGACAAATGTTTTCCCATGGGGGCCGCTTGCCAAATTTCATACTTTAAAATAAAATTTAACTATATCCAGTATGGTACAACGGACCCCAGCATGCGCGCACGCACACACCTGTAAGTTTACATGCGATTAGGGATTCCTGCGCCAGGAACTTGTGTTTTCCTGCAGCAGGAATGCCTAATCTAATGTTTACAAGCGACAGCTGTCACCCATTCAAGTTAATGATCAGGTGACAGCCGCTGCATGGAAACTCTGCACACCACATGTAATGGTATGTGATATTACATGCGGTTATAAAACACTATCCCTGAATGCACAATCGATGCGTCCAGGGAGAGTGATTGATTCCTAACTGAATGTAATCTCACGTATCATTACATGCGGTGTGCAGGTGTTTACATGCAGCTGCTGTCACCTGATCATTAACTTGAATGGGTGACAGCTGCCGCTTGTAAACGTCAGATTAAAACGCAAGTTCCTGACGCAGACCTTACTAAGCTATTCTTTTTGCCCAGCGTTTACTGAAGGATTTCAGAGCGCTGGCCGAAGGAATCTGAATGGCACAGAGGATCTGCATTGCGGTCTGCATCCGACAGAGATGCAGACAGTGTAGCTGCTCCCGCAGTTTTTTATCTGCCGGCTGCAGAATCTAGCCACCGGCCAGCAGCAAGATGTAAACAATTTCAATAGTAACTAAATAAATGTAGTTGCTAATTAAATTTTGTAGTGTGCACCAAGCAACCAGGAATTTTTTTCAGTGTGCCTAAAGGCAACCGGCAGAAGAAAAAAAAATTGAGGCCATAAGTCTTCAATTTTTTTTTGCCGCTTGACTGAGAGTGTCTGTCAAGCAACCAGAAATAGTTATCCTGCATCTACCGAACCACGTGGGTGCCAGATAACTGAGTTTACGGTAAAATCTTATTTTCCAGATCTACTCTCGGCTTATTTACAACTAGGTCTTTTGGTATATTGTGCATATTATTAAAAATGTATATTAACATTAGTATCTCATTCATAGAATATCACACTGCGGTAACTGCACTTCAGCAGCTGGCCGCTGTGACATTAAGGCATGCTATAAACTAGATTTGGCAAGCTGGGTAGGTAATTAAATTGATAATTCAATATTTTATATGTTACAATCATTTTGCTCTTAGCACCTCATCAGTCATCACCCCTCATGTCTTAATTCACACCAGCAAAATATCAACCAGAGTCTGATTTGTTCCCAATATCATTTTTTTGCAAAGCTGCCTTGCTGGCTCCATTCTCAAAGGTCTTAAACACTGACAGATAAAGTGGTGATTTAATGTGATAGCAATAGTCCGTGTGACTTGAAAGACCCAGGATTGGCTACTTTTGATTTCATTACCCACACTACAGGTAGTTGGAACCTTTTCTTACATGGAGTATTCCCAGCTGATGTAGTACTTTCATTCATTGCTGGGCTACATAGTTTTACATTTTTTTTTTTTTTTTTAAATCACAAATTAAACAAAAACAAACAACAAATGATGATGAGATTTATTTTTATAACACATAATTATGCATAAGTAACAATCCTGTGTTCTATGACTGGGTTTTCTTCTTTAACCATTTCGCTGCCAATGACGTATGCCGTACGTCGCTGCAGGCAGGCCCCTGTAAACAGACCGCCGGGACTCAGTGTAAAGTTGACTGTCGGCTTTACACTGGAAGAGATTCTGGTGGCTGAGCTGCTGCCAGGTCGCTTCCAGAGGCCGGTGAAGAGTGCCCCCCGCCCAACACCCCCGCCTTGCTTCCCTGGCTTCACGGGTGTTGGTAGGTAGAGGGGACTGATTTCTCTCGGGCTGAACGAATGAAATCTAAAACGTGTGCATGGTATAAATATAGCTAGAATTTGCCAAGTCAAAATCACAATAGTTGCAGAGTGGCCATCTCTGAATTGTCAGGTTTCATTTATTCACTAATCAGGATACTTTAAATGTTTAAAGATCAAAATTATACACAGCACAGTAAAACTATTAATGAAGAAGAAATAGCTTACCAAGACTCTGCTCATTTTTACTAGGTTGTATTTGCGTGGGATCAGAAGGAAAAGTGCAGTCCCAGCCATCAATGATATGCGTGTCCTCATCAACTGAAACACAAATGCAGATGTTGACTTAACAAGTCTACATGCTACACAGTACAGGCAATATAAACTTTAGAATACACTCACCAGCCATCACTCTCAACTGACTTAGACTGGGAATAACCAAAGGGCTCCTTGATTGTAGGAAGAAAATAATAAGCAATGTCAAAGCGTAATTATTCAGCAGGGGCCCACCCCCTAATGAGTTACCTGAGTGTTGGAAAAACAGACTTAGCATTAGTCCAGATGAGTGTGCTGGCTTTACTCAGACAAGTTCTACTCTGTGAATTTTAACATCTAAATATTACATAACTAATACAACTAAAAAGGAGGAACTATTCATAGAATTGACAGATATGAATGTTAACATTCCCAAGATGTAAAATAATAGATATAGCATACTACACTGAATTAGAATTATATTGCTAAAATAAGGTCCATGTAAAGCTATAGCAGGCTTACCAAAGGGGGATAGTTTTCTATGGATTGGACAGAAAGCGGGGAGAAAAGAAACCAGGGATGCGCCGATGTATCGGCCGAAACATGGCTCTTTCGGCATTATGCCAAAAGTGCCATTTTCGGCCGATATATCGGTGCATCCCTAAAAAATACCATTTTCTAATTGCTGTTTTTTTTTTTTTTTACAGCTATATAAAGAAAGTCATTTTAACCACTAGAGTCCCCTGGCAATTTTTTTTTCATTTTAGCAATGTCTTGGTACCCCACATATTATATAATTTAGGCTTTGTAGTTTACCCCAATATATACGGCATCTTCCCCCCCTCCCGGACAGATAGGGCTTTACATTTTCTGCATAAATAGATTTTTATTTCTTTGGTTTTCAGTGAGAAAACGTAGTAAAGTAGTCATTTTCCTGTAATTTGTCCCAAATGCAAAGTCTACATAGTTTGCTCAACTCCCCCATATATTACAGGCAAAGTAATATCAACAAAGTCCGCTGGTTAAAAGGATATTACATTTGTGTGACTTATGGAATGTAGCGGAATGGTAAGGCTCAAAATCAACATATACTTTTACTTGGAGAGATTTATTTCATTTTTTATACATTTGAATGTACGCAGGGGAAGAAAAAAGCTTATGTAAATTGTAAGCATAATATTAACATAATCTTAAATTGTGTTCAGTTGGGCACAAATTAGCATGACAGCGACTTTTTCACATGTTTGTGATCGGTAAAAATTCAAATGACATTGCGTTTACTTACATGAGCATTTGATGCAGTAAATGCAAATATCATCTGGATCATCCAACATTGTTGCAACCTGGGAATTTTCTTTAGGACACGCACACAACTTATTTTATTAAACTTTTTTCTTCTAGGGTCAGGGGGTTTGGATCTGATCAGTGGAGACCTGATCCATAGCCCCCTTCCCCGCAGCAGATCACTTCTGAAAGTAACCTGCTGGCTTCAAGCACCTGGCAATAGATCACTATAGCAGTTATGCGTTTTAGGCAGAGGCTGGACAGAGTTCTGACAGGAAGTGCCTTGACATCATGACGTCACTAAACTCCTGTAAACACAATGCGGAAGGGGAAATGTTCATATTCATTTCAACAGCTCACTCCTAGAGAGCGAACTGTAGAGGCATCGGAAGCCCAGGAGTTGATAGTTTCAGCTCCTGGGCTCAAGCACTGGAAACTGACAGCTGGTGGTTCCAGCACTAGTACCAGCAGAGGTCCAAATGACAAACAGCTGGGTCCAAACACCCTTTTAAAATGGAGCTTGGACAAACAACCTTAATCTTTATTCTTACCTGCCAGCTGGTTCACTCTAGCCCAGTATCTCAGTGTGTACACAAGCTGTGGGACCCGAGGGTCTAGGTCAGAGCAGAGACGCAAGTAATAGGAGTTGCGCAGGGCAAGCCTAGGTATAAAAAAAACAAAAGACATTACAATATATTTGAATTAGACAAACATAACTAGCAAATGTTTACACAAGATATTAAAATAATGAGGCTACCTGTTATTGAGAGTGATATCACCCCTAAGTCCTGAAGTCTTGTGTTGGAAGCGTATTACTGGTCGCCGTGCAGAAGGAACAGTTTGAACCCCATGTACTCCAGGAACACACTGACGTAGAACTCTCTCAACTAAATCGAGGATTTCCTCATTGGAGAGACCCTTCAAGGATAGGCCAGGAGTAATATTCTGTAAGGGAGGGGGGAAAAAAGGTTAAGGCCTGGTTCACACCTGAACGCTCGATGAACGCTCTACAAAACGCTCAAACATCTAAATCCCATTGTATTCAATGGGTCTGGTTCACACCTATTTCCGCCCGTCCGAACGCGATACAAAAACGGCCTACGCCCAAAGAAGTACATATACTTCTTTGGGGGCGTTTTGGTCTCGCGTTTTCATTGGGATACAGCCAAGTAGCCCTCGGAAACGGGCGTTTGCCGCGCGGTTTTTTTAACGCGAATCGCGGTAAAAACGCACGACAAACGTGCATATTCAATACGCCTAGGTGTGAACCCAGCCAAACTAATGCTTTCCATGTTCACTTTACTTATACTTTATTTGTGATTTTGCATTGAGATCATCGAAACACATCAACAATTCTAAGATTTAAAATATCAAGTCAGTCACATATACATAGTTGGTAAGGTTAAATAAAGACACTGGTCCATTTAGTTCAACCTATATGTGTGTGTTTGTATGTCCGAGTGTGCACAGATGTCGCTAACATTTCCCATATCCCTGTATATTCTGTCAACTGAGGAACTGATGCAAGTGTTTTTTGAAGTTATCAATGCTTTCAGCTGGTACAACTAAATGTGGAAGGAAAAATTCTACAATTTTACTGCTGACTGTAAAAAAAACAAAACGAAAAAACCCTTATGTAGCCGGATATTAAATTGTGTCTTGTCCAACTTCTTGTTGTGCCAGTATGTCATCTTCAGAGATTTTAGTTTAAACAGTTTACTTCCTATATTGCAGTCCTCATTGATGGGTTTGTAAACTGCAATCATATCTCCTCTTAGGCATCTCTTTTCTCTAAGAGGACACCTCTTACTTAAGGTTTATTTTTAGGGGCCATTTAATTTTTTTTTTTTAAAGCTTGTAAGTTTTTGAAGAGTTTTAGAGCAATTTTTTACAAGTAAACCTTTAATACACAACAATGGATTCCCAGAGCAGTAGCACTTATCTATAGCAGCAAAACAGTAGATGGCAGCCAGTAAGCTTGTTTTCGCTAACTGAAATCTTGTATGGAGCCATTTCATAAGAAATAAATCAATGCTCTGGTTTACTAACTTGCATGCGTGTAATTATTTTAGCTTAAAGCTTTTGAGCGCTATAAAAACAGAAATATTTTTTTTTCTATAAAGGAAACTGGCTGGATAGAAATGTGCATTTGCAATATTTCATATATACAAAAGACAAAAAAATTATTATTATTTTAAAAAAATAAAAAAAAAGAATGAATGGATACTATGGAACAACAAAATTAGGAATCTGAAATGGTGACAGTTTGTTCAAACAAGCTGGGCCACTGCTTCAGACCGTTCATGGCTTCAGACTTCCAACACCAAGATCCTTGTTTTCCTTATGTTAATACTAACTATGGCCATATGACCAACTGGGTTAACTTTTAGTTACATAGTTGTTAAGGTTAAATCCGCTGAAAAGTGACAATTTACATAGAAGAGTATAGTGGCCGCTGGCGTCTTTTCAATTGTCAGGTGTCTTAATGATCAGTACCTACCAAAGATTTAAGCATCAGCTTTGTGAAGACTTCCCTTTTTTAAACGGCAAACCAGTTTAAATAAAGCCATAAGTTATACTTAAACAGATCACCGGCCTCACCTCATCTTCATCATGCTTATGCTCTTCGTCATGCTTAATCTCTTCAGTTTCGTTTATCTTGTTTCTCTGTGCTTCTTCCACTTCTAAACATTCTACTTCATTTTCATCTCCCTCCTTTTTTGTATCTTTATCCATATAATCTTCTTTTAAGTCTGCATCTTCAACATCATCATTCTTCCTATTCAACTCCTCGGTTTCTCCAAGCTCCAAATATAAATCTAGGTCACAGCCACTGACCTCAAAGCCATTTACAGATGAACCAAAAGGGTGAAGCTGGCAGCCTGTCCCCAAAAAAATAAAAAAATAACATAAATCTATGAAACACTACATCAGTGACAGACATTTGGATCCTGGCATTTAGTCACCTGGAAAGAACTCTGTAAAGGTTTCTCGCAGCAGAGACAGCAGCAACTCCCGCAGATGACCTTCGTGATGCGATGGAGAACACAGTGTGACCAGACTCTTTATTTGATCCTCCACCTTCAAGACACCATCAGTTTATAAGATTTATTTATTTTCTGCTCACTCCAATTTCATTAGCGCTTTCTTTTTACGATAACCATTTTTACAACCGCACAATAACAACATTGTATTAAAATCTCTACTCAACAATTTCTCAGTTTCGGATGGAACACACATACACAGATCAATTGGGGCAATGAGGCCATTTTAGACCTAACCAATTGATATCCACCAAGTGTGTGCACTAAAAAGGTTTTTCAGTAACGGTTTAATCTGTTTGGACAAAGATAATAGGAGATCCAAAATTAGGGCTGCAACAACTAATCGACATAATCGATTATAATCGATTATTGAAAAAGTTGTCAACTTTTGCAATAATCGATTAATCGGCTTCCGATCAGTTGGCCCTGTTCACGGCTCCACACACGCTGCACCTCCTCCCCAAATCACGCTCACCGCTGCCAGACCCGCATCCACGCTTTACACGACGCACCTATCTCAGGCAGACCCTATCTCAGAAGCAAGTTGCTGGAAGACTGCTCAGGTAAGCCTGCACTTTCCCACACATGGTGCTCTATAATGTATTGCAGGGATTTGTAGTCCTCTATAGCTGATGGTACATTGTGCTGTATATTATACATAGGAATACAAATCCCAGCAATACATCATACACTGTATGTATAATGTATTGCTGGGATTTGTTGTACTCTTCTATAGTTGGTGATATTCTGCACTGCGCTGTGTAGAGGACTAAAAATCCCAGCAATAATACATTATACAGCGTCATGCGGAATTCCACCAGCTATAGAGGAGTACAACAAATCCCAGCAATAGTACATTATACAGTGGTGCAATGCCGGATACCACCAGCTATAGAGGACTACAAAACCCAGCAACAGTACATTATACAGCGCAATGCAGAATACCACCAGCTATAATGTACTGTTGCTGGGATTTGTTGTATTCCTCTATAGCTGGTGGTATTCTGCATTGTGCTGTATAATGTATTATAGCTGGGATTTGTAGTCCTCTATAGCCGGTGCCATTCTGCATTCATTGCTGTATAATTTTACACTTTCCATTTCACTATATTGCACACCACACTATTTGTTTTCTTTTTTACTTCCACCACTCGAAGCTTGCTCCTGTGATGGACTGCAATCTCAATACAAACTAGTAGTCCCATCACTGGAGCCATGTTTTAAAATGTATTTTATTGTTTATCCGATTAACCGATTAATCGAACTTAATAATCGGCCAACTAATCGATTTTGAAAATAATCGTTAGCTGCAGCTCTATCCAAAATATTATCCCACATCGATCTCGCTTACACACACAGGTAGTATACGTTCACATCACCACAAAATACAGAAATTTAGCTTCACTTTAGTGAGATAATGGACACACTGTAGAGGCTCATACAATAATTTTGTACATTTTATACAACTCACAGGAAGTTTTTTGTTTTTTAAAGACTTGAGTATTTAGCCCTCGTTCACACCTGAACGTTTTGTAGCGCGTTCTACGCTCGACGAACGCTCTACAAAACGCTCAAAAATATAAATCCCATTGTATTCAATGGTCTCGTTCCCACCTTCGCGTATTTCCGCCCGTCCCTAACGCGCTACAAAACGGCCCACGCCTGAAAAGGTACATGTACTACTTTTGGCCGTTTTGTTGCGCGTTTACATTGGGATACAGCCAAGTAGCCTTCGGAAAAGCGCGTTTGTCGCGCGACTTTTTACCGCGAATCGCGGTGACAGACGCGCATATGCAATACGCCTAGGTGTGAACGAGACCTTAGACAAGCTCTTTGCTTTGTTGGCAATTTGCCAGCAGCTGCACTGTTTGCAGGTCTGGGATAGTTCGTGCCCATTTTTTCTTCAGCAGTGCAAGAAAAGTCTAGATTTGCATGCTTACCTCCGCTATGCTCTAGACATTCCTCTTCACTGCAACCCTTCTGCAAGCTACACACTCATAAATCAGCAGGCTTTAAATTAAATCAGTGCATTCAGCTTGCATCTAATAAAAAGTGTTTGCTTATGGTTGTCTTTCTACTCTGTGCTATGGACTGATTTCTGTCACAACTTTGACTACTCAAAGGTTCTGTTTCTGTCTGCCACCTGCCCTGACCTTTGCCTGTTTTACAATCAGGTTTGCCTTCTGCCTGCTTTGACCTCCAGCCTGTCTGACTTGGCTTTTATCTCCTGATTTTGCAATATGTCTGGTTTCATCGTTTGTCATGTGTCACTGTCCAGCCTTTCCCAAGTGTAGTGATCTAGCGAAGTGATCTAGCGAAACTCTTGAGGTAGATTTTAAAACAGAGGGTCCAAATACAGTCATTGGATACAAGTTTCATCCATGATAAAGGATTATGTAAGCACTGTACTGTGTTTTTTATAAATAAATTAAAAAAGCACAGTGGAAGATGACTAAATCTAAGCTTGAGCTACTGAGCTCTGTAGGGGTATCTTTCTGCAAAGTTGATAAGAATGGACAGAAAACCCATACGAAGGAGTCAAAAGCTTCACTTATGAATTCTTGTTTTATATTATTTCAATCCAGCAATATTTCAAATTCACTCAAAACTGTTTTTTTCACACTTTTTTAGACATGACAATATTAAAGAAAATGTATGCAAAAACTGCTATACAGATACTTCAGCAATTTAATTGTTCGTAGATTTTTTTACCTACAATTTCCTCTTAGCCTAGTATTATTATAGGCAGGCTAAAGATTTACTAGCATTATTTCTCCCCCATGCACTGTTTCTCCCAAAAGACTATTACAAGCTGCACTGTAGGCCACTTATAATTACAATCAGGTTATAGTGATTTTGTTCTGTACACGCTTGGGTTCCAAGTTTGAATAGATCACTCACGTCAACTACTGATAAATTATGAAAGGAGGAAAACAAAAAAAGTAACTAAAGATATCTGAGAAAAAGGGGAATGAGCAACGAGTATATTACAGGTAAAATACTTTAAAGTGGAGGGGACGGGGACCCTTGGGTTTACACTCACATCCTTGCAGTGGATAAGTTCCTTGCTCAGTGCCTCTGGGTCAGGAGGTTGCAAGTTCCGTGATCCTGTTCTCTTTTTCTTGAACTCTTTCTTTTCCCGAGGCTTTACCTTTAGTTGATGCCCCTCTAGTTTAATATTGGGTTCTTCAAGGGTTGCAGTTACTCCATCTGAATTCTCAAACTCCACAATGGCATATAGACCCTACAAAAGAAAGCAGATTCACATATGTAAACATAACCACATATAGGAAGAGTCAGTCATTTAACAGTAGCACTGCAGTACACAGCAAGCACATTCCATCTAAAAAAAATGACAGTCTGCAACATTTACACTATTCTGTTGCTTATATAGGGAAAAAGAAATGCTTTGCAGTATAATGGTTATTGGATGCAAAACCAAGTTGAAAAGCTGTTTCCCAAAATGTATGTGATAATCCTCATCCTGACCCTTATACTTAAGAGACCCCGTCATCAATTTACCAAACTGCAGGTAAAAGCACATAAAATATTGTCTTTTTAATGCTTACCTGCAGTGTATTTCATTTCCATAAATTATTATTTTTTTATTTGCTTGCAATGTGCTTCTGAACTTGCTACAAATTAGGCTACTCCAGGAAGGATTATTTCACTAGCACAGCCCTATACCTCTCCTCTTCAGAGAGTGTCTAATTATTCTCTGTGCAGAACCAGCTCTCACTTCACCTCCCTACATGTAGCTGCCAGGAGAAGAGTAATGGGGAATACTATAAAGTCTCACGTGGGCCTGGGTGAGAGCACTGGAGCTTACAGCAGCCATTTTTATAATGGGCAGATGAATCCATCTCCATTAACTTCCTGGAACTCTGACACGTGACTAGGACATGTGACCATGCACATCATCTCAGAGGAGGAAAATGCCTTTCCCTGAGATCTCATGAAATTACAGAGGAGATTTACCAGCAATGCTCTGCTGATGTAACCTTCCCAGGGTGCAACACATGGGCACAATTACTTCCCTTTTGCAAAGAAAATCAGGAACTAGAAAAGAAGTAAAATGAAAATATGGTTGTTTAATAAATGTAAGATGATTTCATATCAGCATGCATAACTGCATTCTGATGTGATTTTTTGGCCAAAGTCAGTAAAGGTCCACTTTAAAGCTAAAAATAAACCCTTAACCAAACCCGTACACATCTAACCTCACCCTAACATACTTTTTTAAAAGTTAAAATTAACTTTTAACACAGCCACCTAAACTCCATTCCTTAAAAAGGAGAACTATGGGGTTAAGGCTTTTCCCCATAGTTCTCCTTAGGGTAACGGGAGGACACAAACTAGCGTCCTCCCGTCACCCTAAGCTCAGTATACCGCGAGCTACAGAGGACTGCGGAGGACTTGCTTGAAGGCTCAGGGTAGTTTGCCAGCCAGGGCTGCAAGTAGGGTTCCTTTTTCTGGATAAGGCTCTAATGACAGAGTTTGACTTGTGAAAATAGGTCTGTCAAAAAGTCTAAAAGAAAGACTGCAAGCACTTACTATGGAACTGTGGGAGAAGAGTGATTTTTCATTGGAAAGCTAATTTGAAATAACCAAATTGTATAAATCGAAATAAAAAATCTGACAAAACCGGTGAATTTTTTAAGATGAACATCTGAGCCAAAGAGTTCTTAGAGCAATGATATATAAACCTGTCCAAGAAGTAATGAAAGCCGGTTCTGTACACATTTACTGGCTTGAACTAGATGGTCAAGAAGAGACAGCAAATCCTCAGATGAACTACAGAGGCTAAGGTTCTCTCTGAACTTATTTCTGGGAAAACAAAATCACAAGCGATATACACACTGATATACTTCAGTTTTCTGTATGCATATTATGGTATATAAAATGAAATCTGGGAATGCTACTGACCCTGTCCTTGTCCATGACAATATTTTTAACCGAAGATATTGATTGAAAGACATCTGTAAGCTGATCTTCTGTGGTGCCTTTTGGGAAGCCACTAACAAACACACTACGCTCTTGCTGTTGTTGGCGTTTGTCACGCTCCTCACACATTCGCACATGACGTCGTCCACGAACGTGATCATTGAGGCTAGGGCCTAGAAATGAAATGTAAAACACAGTGAAAGCCAAGACCAATTGCCACTGAACTTTATTAGCAGGTTTATTTGTACATCACTGCTTGAGATCATTTACACTGTCAAGGGAGGTGTGGTGCTGCTTTATTGCTTATAACCTGGTAAGCCTGCAATAACTAAAGACCAATCATACTAAGCTGCTTCAGGAAATTCTACAACAAAAAGGCAGGGCCACTGTCTGATATTACATTCAAAAAGAAGCTGGGCTTTTGGAGATGACAATGATCCAAAAGACAAGAGAAAAATCAACACAGAAGAAATCTTGTATTTTAGCAAGTCAGAATTGTGTCCTTAATCCCACTGAAATGCTGTGGCATTATCTAAACAAGATATGTTGTTGCTATACATGATTGGGCCAAAACACCCAACTGCTGTTCAACATATGCACAACTGAAACTGATTTTCTGGAACAATGCACCTGAGCAACACTTAAGCATTGGGAGCTTTGAGCTTCAAGCTACAAAATGCTAAACAACCCAAACCCCATGCTTTAATAAAATTGTGCCTATTCATTAGAAATAAGCTCAAGCTCAAACAGAACCTGGTCCAAATCTAAGCTCCTCCGAACCCAGAACCAACATGGGACCTCCTGCCTATTAAGCTGTAGGCATTCCCTGCCCCACAGCTGCATATAAACAAAGGGGAAAGATGCGTGCGCTGACATAATTGACCTAATATGGCCACATAGCCAGATAAGGTAAATATTATTGACCAAACATAGCCATGTGGCCACATAAGGTCAATGACGTCATAACATCCCACTCCTTTGCTTATGTGCAGCTGTGGGTGGAGAACTCTCTGGCTGGAACCGATTAGGTGGCAGCAGCAGAAGGAACTTCCTTCCATGTTCCGAACAACTCAGGTTTATACTGGGTTTAAACAAGGGTCACTCTGATGAAAGGGAGTGGCCGCGAAAACATGTTAGCCCCAGCCTAACCCCCCAGCCTTTGGGACGTAGCACATTTCCTTTTGTCATCTGCAATGTACACTTCAGAACATCTATTGCAGCTTGCAGCTCTCCTCTTGCCTACAGCTACTGTTGGTGTGACCTGGCATTCCACTGAAGTACATTAGAGGATTTGAAAACTAAACAATGGACAGACACCTCACTCTTATGGCCAGTGAGGTGCAGTGATGGGTGACACCATGCTAGTTTAGCAAGTGAAAGAGGGAAATTGATGAAGCAGACGAGTGCTTTCAGCAATCCCATCCTTCGTAAGCTGCTGCCAGCTACAGATTTTCTACCATGACATGGCCCTTTAACAACCCAAACACTTCCAACAGGTAAACAGTCATTTATACACGTCTACATACCATACCTAAAAGAGGAACAACTCTGAAGAAGACAAGAATGTGTGTGCATTGAAAAAGAAATTTAACTTTTGGATTTCATTTTACACTCATTCTGGGTATAACATTAAAAAGAGAATTTTTTTTTTTTTAACCAAAACCGTATTTAACCATGCCAAGAAGCACTTCTCATTGGTCAGGTGACCTTGCTTACCAATGAGTGCTTGCAATCTGCAAGCAAAATCCCTACCGTAGGGCTGTGCTGGAGGGCAGTATGTGGTACAGTTAGTACACCTGTACCGGAGGAAGGGGGAGGACTGTTTGCCAAAAGGTAAGTATAGCAGAGGGGGGGGGGGGCACATTTGAGCGGGTAATTCAATTTTCCCAAATTACTTGGGAAAGTGAACTTACCCCTTAACGCACATTGTGGGTTTGAGAGCGCACTGCTACCTGGCTATGACAATATGGCAGACAGTGGAATGGGGCACCGCATGCACACACTGCCCTATGCATGTGTTTATTTGCATGCAGATGGAGGGGTAGGCACGGTTGGGTTTTTTTTTTAAACTTATTACTTAACTTTTTTGCTATCGCACAGGGACTAACAAGCCCCTATGTAATAACATTCGGAGGTGACAGGTTCTCTTTCTGGAGACTAGGGCTATTCACTATCAGGGCTATTCACAAAAGGGTGAGGAGTTTGGAGAAGGCAGGATAAATGAACAATCTAGGACAACATAGCTGAACTGGAAAGTGAGCTGAATTGGAGAATTTTACCAAATCAGCTATTTTGTCCTAGTCTTGTCCTGCCGTCTCCAAATTCTTCACCCTTTTGTGAATAACTCTGCATGTCTTCTCTGCCCTCCAATACAGAAGATCAAGCACAGCATTGTGCTCGATCTCCTGTGCAGTCCGGCTTGTGACAGCTGAGACAGGAAGCACTGAGTACATCCGGGATAAGCAGGCTAACAGCGACCCAGATCACTTGTAGTGATGGGCTCGGGCGTGTTTGCTGCTCCACGTGCCAAGCCCGACAGGAAGCTGACAGCGCGCAGAGCCAATCACAGGCACTGAGACATTTTCCCGGTCCGTAGCTGCAGAGATCGGGAACATGTCTCAGTACCTGTGATTGGCGCTACGCGCTGTCAGCTTCCCGGTGGGCTCGGCCCATGGAGCTGCGAACACGCCCATCACTAATCACTTGTACAAAACAAGCAGCGGCTTCCCTGCTCTACATTAAACCCTCCTTGCCTGCAGCAGGGCTAAATGTAGGGGGAAAAAACACATGTCTGGCGCCCAGAACTTCATGTCCGGGTCATAAGAATCGCACACCCCTGTAAGAGTCTGCAGGAACCAAAGCATTGCACCTATGACCCACTGATTGCAGCTGTAAAGCTTTACTGGCTCTAATGCTGAATATTAAACGCATATGTTTTCTGTGATGTGCACATTTATCATTTTTTCTCCCAAAAAGTGGAAGATGAATTTAAGAGCCTTTGGCAGTTACACAAGAATGTATGCCGAGCCATTGTCTCATACAGGTCAGCTAAACTGCAGTGGTGCTAAGTGCATCTACAAATGCTGACAAGCCTTTGACCCGCAATGATCTGATAACTAGCTCCACAGTAGCTGAGGAGGATACACTGCTATGAGAATGGCTCATAGCAGTGTACTAATACACTGCTATGAGAATGGCTGTCAGACACATGGCTGTTCGCATTAGGACCACACACAAAGCCAGCCGGGAACTACACTTACGGTTCGGGACGCTGACGCCGCACAAAAGACACCGAAAGCTGCCTCGGTCTCCAGGCTGTATATCCGAGGAAAGCAAAGAGCAGCCCTCATCCTCCTCTGAAGCCATGTTGCCGCCACTTCCGGCTCCCACATTAAACGTCACTAAGAAAAAGCTTCAGGCGCGACTGCGAGCGGCTCATGAATATGCATAAGCTTCTGCTGACGCCATGCATATTAATGAGATGAACAGACAAAGGATCTGGGAGGTGAGTGCTCAGCCTCAGCGTGTTTAGGGCAGCTAGGCTGACACAGGAAACACAGACGGTCCACGAACATGGCCGCCCTTCCAGTGTAATTTCCCACTGCACATAGCTAAGTGGTTGAAGCAAACAGGTTCTTAGTGGCAGCATTTCTCAAACCTGTCTAATGCTCACCCACACACATTACAATTTCCTTTACATTTACCAACAGCTATGTAGTGCAAGGGGGGTGCCTGGCTGGATACAGAAAGGATAGATCAGGTAGGACCTCGGTTTGGTAAATTTAAAGTTGATAGTACAGATTGTAATGTGTTGGTGACCCCAAAACTGACCAGATACATTACAATCTGACCATATAATGTTGGTACATCTAAAGAAGATTATATCAATAGATTGTAACATTTTTATAGTTTTGGTGGATTCAATGATGGCAGCTAAATTCCATTGCTGATCCTGAATACCTGTGCTTGTGAAGTCATACCCCACAGCCACAGGTGACATCAGAGGACAGGCTTGGGAAAGACGGCGTCAGTAAGTCAGCCCATAGTATATGAACATTAGAACTCTGTAATTATGTCCTGACATTATCTCATTTCAGTTTGAGGCTCTTGACACAGAGAATGAATCTCTGCAACAAGTCCATGCCGACTGCCAGCCAACACATTCAAAATGCTGAGATCAACAATAAGCTTTATTTCATGAGTGGCAACAGTATTAATATGGGAATACATCAGGCTGGCTATGGCAGCTGTGTACTTGTTCCCTCAGTAGAACAAGTCAAAGATCATTAGTATGCAGTAGTTTAACTATGTTATTTACAGGTAGATCAGGTGTCTGCATGCAAGAGACGTGTATAGACCGCTGCTGCTATGGATCCTGGCCACCATCAACCCTGCAAAACACTTAAAGGACCACCGCCTTGCTCAAATACATATTCACAACACAATAAAGAGATGATCCATGCAGATACTGGTCAGTGTGTACTCAGGAGAAGAATCACAAAAAAAGTTTATTTTGATTGTTTTAAGCCAGATTTATGTATAAGGCCTTGTTCACACCAAATGCAGAGCAGATCCGGTTAGGTTTCTGCACACGCACACTAGTCTTTTAGATGCGTTTTTGGCCAAAAAAAAAAAATGTTTAAAGTTTAAAATGGGCTTTCAGTTCCAGGCATTTGCATGCGTTTTTGATGCGTTTGCAGATCCAGAGCAGGTAAAATAGGGCCTGCTGCAGTTTTTTCACCTTCTCTGGACCTGCACGCTGCAATGTGAAATAGCATTGGAATACATTGGACGCAGTTTTGATCCGGTCTGCAACTGATCTGCTCTGCGCTTGGTGTGAACAAGGCCGAAATCTCCCGTTTCCTGGTAAATATCTGCGTGGACAATTTCTTGCGGTGGTGTGTATAAATAGGGTACAATTCTTTTTGCAGTTTTTTTCAGAACACAGGAACAGGTATAAAAAAAAAAAAGAGAACAGAGCGCCACCTCCGTGTGTAAAATCGTTTATTACAATAAATAAAACAAGGGATAAATGTACTCGCAAATGTTTTCATCAGGCTTTAACAACAAACAAGAGGCCACACTGTCTGTTAACCCAACATGGTATCCCCCCCGACTATGTAACACGGTAGCCTCCGGTCACATCACCGTCCACCGACCGCAGTCAGCCAAGATTGACGCGTTTCAGGGGCAAGCCTCCATCAGAATCGTCATCGAATGATCATTTAAGCGTTTCAGGGGCAAGCCCTCTTAATCAGAATCATCGATGATCTGATGAAGGTGGCTTGCCCCTGAAACACATCAATCTTGGCTGACTGCGGTCGGTGGACGGTGATGTGACCGGAGGCTACCGTGTTACATGGTCGGGGGGATATATTATGTTGGGTTAACAGACAGTGCAACATTTCATTGCGTATCGCAGCGCATGGCAATGAGTCACAACGCTTTGCCATGAGCTGCCAGTTAAATTATTGTTATTGGAAAAAAAATTAATAAATAAAAAAAAAAATCAAGCACAGAAATGTATTTTAACAACAATTGACATTTCCTTTTTGAAATAGAAAAGAAATTGAGAACACAGAATCCTAAATCTCTTTCTGCAGCCTCTGTTCTAAATTAATGGAAAGCACAGAGGCTTCCCATTCATTCACAAACTAGTGATAGTAAAATATTTTACTATCGACAAGTTTCTGAATGGGTAAAAGTCTTTATAGGGAGTGCTTCTCCCCATTTAGAATCTTAGGAATGAACAGGAAGTGATGTAAAGCACGTACTGTGTCCCCAATTATTTACAAACATTGACATGATCAGCGATCACGCCAGCGTTTGTTCTGCAGCCCCGAAACTGACAGGAGCATCTCGCCTCTCTCCTCCCTCCACACCACTCGGCCATCCTAACAAGCGGCTCCCTCCTCCGCTGACTGTGGCCATCCATTTCTGCTCATATCCATGCTGCCTCAGCCCATACAAGCAGGGGAGAGCAGCGGGGATCTGAGAAGCATGGAGCTGCTCCAGGCGGGGAGGAGAAGCCGACAGATGCCTGCTCCGGCAGGGGGAGGAGGGGGTTCGCCCAGAATGTTTAGGCTTCTCAGCCACTGATGACAGCTGCTATTGTACAGGGGAGTCAGGGAAACCCTTCTGGTATAAATTCATGGTTTAGCCACGAATAACTATGAGCTTATAGCAGAAGGGTACAAGCCACTGACATGGCCAGATGCAAGCGGTTGTGTTCTGCTATATGTCAGTGAAAGGGTTAAGGAACCGATAGGGAGTGGTAGGAAGCAGCAGACATAATTTGGGGGCCCCAGTGTGTTGTAACGATATCTTAAAGCACATGAAAGCACCTACTCTTGTTTAATACCTTTAATTAAACGTACATTCCAAGTTAAAATGTTTTTCTCATTTAGTTAATTGGAATGTTTGGCTATGCTATAGGCAAACCCATTATGTTCCACATGCATTACTCCCACACTAAAGTCCATCTGTTGCTCCCAGACATATGGCTCTTCTACTACTGGCCCAGCGTGCACATGTCCGACGTCGCCGGCGCCCTCCTCAGGAACGTGTTTTCAGGGCACGTACACAGTTCTTGAACTTCCCCGAGGAAGTGGTTTTGCAGCGATATAGTCTTCATCCAACGTTGATCAGGGATTTGTGCCACTTGCTAGAATGTGACCTACAGCCGTCTACTGGACGCTCACATGCCCTTCCTGTTTATGTCAAGGTGACAGCTGCTTTGGACTTCTACACATCTGGTACATTTCAAACATCAGCAGGTGATGCTGCAGGAATCAGTCAAGCCAGTATGTCTCGCTGCGTTACACAGGTCACTGAAGCCATAGTACATCGCGCACACAAATTCATCAAGTTAACAAGAGGCCGTGTTCAACGTAAAGCAGCATCACGTGACTTTCAAACAATTCATGGGTTTGCAGGGGCAGTAGGAGATGTAGGTTGTACCCATGTGGCAGTAAAGCCCCCTTCTGTTCATGAAAGTAATTATCTCAACTGTTGGCATTACCACTCCATGCATATGCAGGCTGTGTGCGATGCAAGAGGAGCAATGGTACATATAGTAGCAGAGTACCCAGGCTCTGTGTCAGAGGAGGACATTTTGGGACAATCGAGCTTAGGTCACATGTTTAAAATCCAAGATGAAGAATTCTGGTTTGTAGGTGAGCATATTATCAAATGAAGTTAACTGGTGGAAAATAATTCATTACATTCCATTTCCTATCAAATTAGGGAAGCAAGTTAACATAGAATAGTTACTTGGCAGCATGCAAGCACTCACTGCTAATGGTCTGTACACCAAAATCAGGGGAAAATAATTTAATGGTTGAGGTACCAGTTAGTATTTAACAGACACAAGTGATTTAAGGACACCTATTTCCATAATCTTTTACATTTACCAACACTGCCTGCTCATGTACTTTGCCTCTCGGGAGGGAGCGGTTACATTCAAAAACCCTGGCTGATGACTCCAATAGAAGATCCCCAGACCTCAGCGGAGTTGCGATACAATTCTTCACATGCAGCAGCACTCAGTGTGGTATCAAAAGCTTTCTGCAGTCTCAAATCAAGGTTCCGATGCCTAGCCCGACATGGTGGATCACTTCAATACAGTCCTGTCAAAGTTAGTCAAATCTTTATAGCCTGTTGTGTCATGCACAATATGGCATTAGGTTTTAGCACAGATATACCAGTGGAGGCCAGAGAAGAAGAAGAAGAAAGTGAGGCAGAGGCTGGAGAAGAAGGCAACAAAGATGATCAGCAGGCAAGGAAAAAACTACCGCAGAGGCACTTCAGCTAGAGGTGAGAGGTTGGCTTTGGTAATCTTTAAGTTTAATATGTAAAATTAAAATGTAGTCATTCCAACACAAACTTTGTTAAATAAGTCTCTTGAAAAAGCAAAACACAACCTATTTCAACTTCCCTCGCACAAGTAAATGATTTCAAGCTAACAATTCAGTTTTACAGCCAAATCATTTAGTATGGAATGTATATACTTTTTGCAGGGTTGAAGGAAAAGTGTACAATCCAATGTGAAAGGCCTCCACCTCAGCCACTGTGAAACACCTCGCAGAAAACAGACTTTCAAAAAGAAAATTGTAACATTCCATTCACAAATACTAAGCATTCCGCCCCAAAAGAGGCAATGTAATCAAAAGAAAATAAACTCTTCCCAAAACGATGTAACCATGCAAACATAAAAAGCACCTAAAACAACCTATGCCGATGGTCAATAAATACCCGCTTTCCTTTGGTATGTATAGTGATATTCAGGCCTGATCAACCAGAATTTTTATTCACGTTTGATTATTTCCAGACAGTGCTGTATGAAAATCCCCCTGTAACCCACATTATTCCAAACCATCCAGTCATGCCCATCCCAAACTACATTCCATAAAAATTTCAGGACACTTTTTCTTTTGTTTCTTTTTACTGATGGACCTCAAATTATTTCAATTGTACAAAAAAAAGCAAAACTAAAAGAAAATAAAAAAAAGGGTAGGGATATGACCAGGGAGCGAGAGCACCTCCCAACAATTCAAGGAAGTTAGATGAAGAAAAATATATATATTAAAATAAGGGACTGGGGGAAAGTGTAAATGGGAGGAGCAAAAAAAATAGAGGAAAAACATGCCCCTGTTCCTGCTAGGTTGGGCTTTCTGGATTTGGACCGTTGACATCTTTATTAGGGGAGGAGGGCAAAAGGAAATCTTCCATCCTCAAGCACATATACTGTCTGTTATGTACTGGTGAAGAGTACTGGCTTGAAAAAGGTCAGAAGGGGACAGGAATTTCTTTCTACATGGAAACTGATGTTTTAGTGCCTTAGTCTTCCAAAACAATAGGTTCACTTGTGCTGGCAGGGTGGGCTGCTGCGAGAGATGGTATAAGCACAGCTGTTCTTGGAGGCAGTGGTAGCTTTATCTTCAGGGGCTGATTGGGGCGACGAGCAGCTCGGCGCATCTCCATGTGTGACAGGGATTTTCTTAAGCATCTACAAAAGGATAAAGTAAAGGAAATTGATAAAACATAAATGTTTGTAGACATACAGTTCTTGCTGTGACTAACATTTTTAAACACGAGTGTGGTGTCAGTTCAGTATAATTGCCATTAGTATTCAAAGCCTAAGTCCAGACATTTTTTTTTTTTTGTTAGCTTTGGAGAGTTTCTATTTCTGCTTGTGAACCCATTGGGGAGATTTTCCCTGTGATGCTTGTACAAGAAGTGTGGCTGTCACAAGGGCAAGAAGGGACAGACAGCAATAAAAACATTGTCTGAAGCTTTAACCCTTCACCACTCTATTAAAAATATTTTCATGCATGTGTACCTGTTGGAAAGATTTCCCATCACTTCTATTCCTGACAGGAAGTGAGGGGTAATCTCCCCAACAGGGACACAGGCAACAATAAAAACCTAACGGAGGCTTTATCCCTTTCCCCCATTATCCAAGACAAAATAGGTCTGGCTGGAGAAGAGCGTTAATAGGGGGGAAAAAAATAAGGAAGCAAGACGGTTACCTTGTATCCTTTGTAGCCACAAACACTACAGGATTAGGGGCATCAGCAAGATTGAGCTTCTGTCTCTTAACGGTGGGTTGAGAGCTGGAACGGACACCAGAGGAGAAGGAGCGGCCATTGGCAGAAAAAGGAGGTACTACTCCAACCCCAGATACCTAACGACAAACTTAGTATATAAGTAATCATGTACACAATTTATTTTTACTCAATATCAGTTATTACAGAGAAGAAAACCCAGCTAAGAATTTAAGACTATCATGTTTACTCAATATACCTTCTACAGAGTAGAATTAGACACTAGCAAGCAAAAGGCTGTAGGCCAGCTCTGGATACAAAAGGATTTTTACAGGGAATACAAATATTCTATATTTTATTTATCATCATTCAAAGAACACAGGAATTGGGACATCCAAAGGCAGTCAAACCGAGGGGTGAGCAACAGCAAACAAATGCTAACAGGCCCACTTGAAAAAACAAAACACAACATCGGAAGTGGGGATTGCCTGTGCCTCTTACAGCCACCTGAAGGACCTAACCACCAAAGCTGGCATCAGATGAGGCCTGAACATCCACCTAGTAGAACATTTAAACAGCAGACCAGGCGAGTCTTGCAGATCTGGGAAACAGAATCCTGATGCCAAAAAGCCTGTAAAGCAGCCAAGGAAGAAGTTTCAGGGGGGAGGAAAGGCCTTATACTGATCCCATGGAGCCCCCAGAGCGTTCACTGTTTCCACTAGAAAATCTGTGTACCTGGAGAAAACCTCTTCAGTTTATTGTTGAACCTGGGGGCCAGGAGGTCCACATCTAGCATCCCACACCTGTGACATAGGTCCTGAAACACCTTTGAGTGTAGGAACCACTCTCCCAGGGTCAGACGCTGTCAGTGGAAGTCTGCCTGCCTATTGTCCACACCTGGACCAGGCTTTAAGATGGGCTTAGCGACTGAACAAGCTGAACCCCTAAAACTGTTCTGCCACAAGAACTGTCACTCTGTTTTAGAGGACCAGCTAGGGCTGTATGGAACGCTGCCAATCTGCGCAGTGACACTGACAGGTTGGAAGTAAAAACCAAGTAAGGGGCAGGGAAGAAAAACTCTAGCTTGTAGCACCTAAAGAACACCTCATGCACTCAACCATTTGAGATGCAGGCTGTCCAACTGTCTGCAAAGGCTAACACTGAAAAGTGTGGATGGGCCCTCATGCTGAAGAAGGCTGAGAGCTTAAAAATTCAAAGTTTGGGAGCGCAGAGAGAGCATGACTTCTGGACTTGGAGTTTCAGGACATGGGGTACTGAAAACAACTTTCCTTGTCCTCTAGGGAAGGTTAAGACCACCCAGACGAGTCTTGGGCTTCTTTGACTGAGGAAGAGGAGTAATCATGACACTTTCTCATGACACATGGCATTCTAGATGATAGTATCCAGGGCAGCTCCAAAGAGGCATTGTCTCTGGAAGGCCATGCAAATTGGGTGCTTGACACAGGCTCTGCAAACCAAAGCTATACCCAAAGTGTCCTTCTCATATGCACCGACTAGGAGACTCATACAGGAATTGGGAGACTTGCATCAGCAGAGTTGAAGATAAGGCATACATCCTCATAGGCAAATAGCAAAAAAACATATGCATGCTTGCAGTAAGAGGGGCTATCTTTGGGTGGCCAACATATTTTTGTTTCCAGTGTCCAAAACTCCTGTAGGCAGCAGTATAAACCGACAGTTAATGAATTCCAGTGTCCCTCAATGGACGAGAAAAATAAAGCGTAATAGAAGGGCTGAAATACTTAACATTTCTGGGAGAAAACACTGCTATAGGCTCTTTTGAGTGCTACTCACATGTGTAAAAACCTAGCTATTTAATAAAATAATACCCACACTAGGCGATAAACCAAATCCGAACTCTGATCCTCCCCTTTCAGCAGAAACCATATGATAAAGATCATAGACTTTTATATATGAAAAGCATTTTGTCCAGAAAAGGAAAGTATTTCAACCTTTTAACTACCTACCCTAGAAAGACATAACGTTTTCTACACTCGGCTATACGTCCACTTTAATAGAGTGAAGTAATCATCAATTAGTTTATCCACATAAAATTTTGTATTAATATAATGTCCTCCATTACTCACAGCTTCAAATGCTCTTTTCGTGGGTAACACACTTAAACTGCGACTCTGAGTAAGCTGGTTACGATTTATTGGCGTTTTTGTCCCACGTGGGGTTTTCGGCTTGAGTGGTGCTTGAGCAGCTAAAAGCAAGAATGTGATGGTTATGAGGATAACAATACTTTCAAAGTAACCCCCTCTGCTATTTATAAACCAAAATACAGTATGTGACCTGGACCAGAAACTCCCTGTGCGATTTATAACCCAAAGTACAGTATGTGACATGGACAAGGAACAGTAGCCTATTCCAGGCAGCGCTTCCATCAACCATCAAGTTGGCACAGAGACTGCTTCTCCATTAGGGCACTATGGAGAATAGCTGTATGTGCACAGTATCATGCAGCCAGCAGCGAGACTCTTCTCTATGAGAACCTATGGGGAGAGGTCACACATGCGCAGAACTGCCTGCTCAGAAAGTGAAAGGAGTGCTGCCCCACCCAGCTCAGGCTATAGCTCCTGATCCAGGTCAGGTCACTGATAGGTCTGCATTGGGAGCTAAAAAAAAAATTAGAAGCAATATACTTAAGAAATATACTTGAACTCCAGTTCCATTTTTATATTTACCTTTAGTAATGGAGGGCATCTCGTCTCCAGTTATAAACAAGCATCCTCCGTTCTAAAGAGCTCTTTCTAGATTCCACAACCCCCAGAACTGTGTTCTTTGTGACTGCATTAATCTCCAAGCCAGCTGTCAAACATCTACTACTACCCCCCCCCCCACCACCACCACCACCAACACAGGGGCG